GTGTGTGTGTGTGTGTGTGTGTGTGTGTGTGTGTGTGTGTGTGTGTCTAATTTCTTCTGGCGACCCTTCAGGTTGGTGGGGTCAGATCAGTCACCCTTCCAGAGTCCCTCCTGTTTGTCTCCACTCTGGACGGTAGTCTGCATGCTGTCTCCAAACAGACAGGAGACATCAAATGGACTTTAAGAGAAGGTCTGTACACAAGGAGTCAGTACTGTTTACTCTGTTGTATTTAATTATTTTTTAAAAACATAAATCATGAAGTTGCTCTTCTAATTCTTTCAGACCCCATTATTCAAGTTCCTGTCTACCTCACAGAGTAAGTAACATAGAGACACACAGACATGGGGCCCTGAGTACCACTACTCAGAATAATAGCTTAACTTTCCTTAAAGTGTCCGTTTTCCGTTTTTGTGCTTTTAGACTTATCTCAGGAAGAGTGAGCCACAAGCCTTATCATCTAAATGCATAAACAGTTTACATAACTGGAAATTCTTCATCAAGTCTTGTGATTGCCTTTAAGCAAAGCATGGATCACACCAGAAAATCCTGTTTTAATAACAAACTCCAAACCTTAGTTTAAGACAAAGCTGATATATAATTAAGTTTGAATCATATATTGATAGGGCAGCACGGTGGTGTGATGGTGCCCTTTCTGTGTGGAGTTTACATGTTCTCCCCGTGTCTGTGGGGGTTCCTCCCACAGTCCCAAGACATGCAGTTAGGGGGGTTAGGTTAACTGGTGATTCCATATTGCCCATTTCTATAAGGAAGTTGTGTTATTGTTGTATAGATTGTATAGATATTCTCTTTCTAAATTTGTGCACATTTCATTTAGACCAGGTTTCCTCCCAGACCCCAATGATGGCAGTTTATATGTACTCGGTGGAAAGCACCAGGAAGGTTTGATGGTAAGGATGCTTGTTTGTGTTATATTTCTTATATTTAAAAAAAAAAAAAAGAACTTGTTTGATTTATTGTATTGATAAATCTGCAGAAACTGCCTTTTACCATCCCTGAGCTGGTACAGGCAGCTCCCTGCAGGAGCTCTGATGGGATACTCTATACAGGTCAGATTAGCACGTTTTTATTTATTTATTTTTTTATCACCATGTGTGAAACAGACTGTCATAAAAGGAGACTCTGACCTACATCGCTGCTGTTCATTAATAATCTTCGCAGGTAAAAAGCAGGATGTGTGGTTTGTGGTGGATCCTGAAACCGGTGAAAAGCAAACCAGTTTAACAACCTCCACCTCTGACTCCATCTGTCCCAACAGTCCCCTGCTCTACATTGGACGCACAGGTACGTCTGCACAGGTGGCTGCACCCGCTCGCGTGGTTGAGGGTTGAAGGTTGATGGGCGTCACTGTTTGTTTTTCCCAGAATATGTTGTTACCATGTTTGATACGAAGACACAAGAGCTGCGATGGAACGCCACATACAACGATTACTCTGCTCCGCCTTACGACGAGAAGCAAGACTACAGTACGTCCCTGCACGCACAATCAGTTGCTGAGTGTGAATACAGTTGGTTTGCCAGGATTATTGTGACATTGCACAAATGTAACTCATGATTATCCATTATTGTGTATTTTGATACAGACTCTAGGTTATATTTTACATGTAAACAGCTGGTTAAAATGATCCCAGACACTTCCAACACTAACCTGTTGCCTCTGGTTTCCTTATAGAAATGGCCCATCTTGTTTCCAGTGGTGATGGTCTTGTTGTGACAGTTGACAGAGAGTCAGGTAGGGGGAGGTGTGTGGTTTTATCCCTTTGTGAATATTTTAACATCTCATATGACTGATGTGTTCCTTAACAGTCATATTGAGGGTTTTAAGTCCCGTATTGTTGTTTTCCAGGTGATGTCCTTTGGAGTCAGAACTATGGGTCGCCAGTGATCGGCGTCTACCTGTACGCTGGAGACTCGCTGAGACACGCCCCCCACCTGTCCCTTGCAATGGAAACACTGCGTTTTCTCACATTCTCGTCTGCTGGCAACCAGGCAGATGCACACTCCACTTTGAAGTGGAGCTATCAGTTTGTGAAGGAGCAAGCCACTGCACAGACTCAGCTTGTGTAAGAAGAATTGTGTTCACTGAAGAATAGAGGATTGTTTTGTTCAGTCTCTGAGTTCCTTATTGATTGTTATTCATGATGATCTAACGCAGGAAAGAGCGTATGATGTTTTAAATTGCTACACAGTCATGACTCTCATTTGATGCACAGTTAGGTTCATGAATATTTGGACAATGACTGAATTAAAATAACTCTGCTTTTATTTCCTTAAGGCCCACTCTCTATGTGGGAAAGCTGGACTCCCACCTCTATGCTTCGACTTCTCTTGTGCACCACGGAGTCTCATTAGTGGTGAGTTCAAATATATAATCAGTTTTAATATCCAAACATCAGCACCCACTTTCCTCTAATATCATCATCTGTAAACGCTAAACAGTGTATCCAGTCAGCTGATGATTGAGGTGATAATGGGGAAAGTCCACTCCTGACTCATCTGTGCTCTTTGTTGCCACGGCAGCCTCGGGGACTGACCCTGGCACGGATCGACGGTCCACTGACGGCTGAGGTGACGGTCAGAGAGAGGGGGGAGTGTGAGATCACACCATCCACCGATGTGCGCTATCCTCCGGGGAGCATAAACAGCCAGAAAAACCACTGGCTGCTTATAGGTAAACGTGTTCAAACACACAGACAGCTTTCTTTATTAAAAATAAATGAGTCCTTCAGACACTAATCAACACAAATGACAACATTTGTATTAATGAGGTTATTGTCCAGAACTAGACAAATGGCTGCTGGTTTGTATTTCTGTGTATTTAAAAAAAAAAAAAAAAAATGCTGACCTGAACATAACAATGACACCTCCTTGCAGAGAAAATTGCAGTGAAGAAAAACGAGTGAGCTGCAGGCTAACCTCACAGGCACAAACTCAGAAATAAAAGTGTTGACATAAATGACGTTTAAATCAATTAAAAATAATACTAAAATGAAGCATTTATCGATTCACAGAACGTAACAAGAATTTGTGTGTTCATTTGCTTCTGTATTTATTTACCGTTCTGCTAATTCATCTATCCTTTACTCAAATAATTTGCATACTGCTTCAGTATGCAAATGAGTGGGCTGCTATCCAAAGAGTGCAATGGGGTCAGTCTTATGCATATTGTTTGGCTCACAAATGTAATGGCTGCCTCCACTTGTTAGATCGCTGTAGACCTAATTAATCTAGCCGAAAACAACACTGTCAGTAAGGAATGATTAATGAGGAAAATGACTAATTCAGTACAAATGTAAACAAATACACACCCATGTCAAAATGGAGATATTTATCTAGTGTATCATTTTCTAAGTTAGTGCATATATACTCTTGCTACATTAAATAATTATCTATTTAAGTATTTAAATATATTAAAAATGATATTCACATAAGCAGTGGAGCATTAAGATTAATATCATTTTTCTTTATTTTTCATGGTAAGAGTTCTGGTGTAGGAGCAAAGTCTTTGATTTATGC